TTCTTGTCAGGTGTACCTCAAAACATGTGAACTAGAGACATGTAAACTAGATTGTACAACCAGTGCGTGCTGCTAGTGATGACTTCTGTATCTGAAACGTGGTCGTTCACTGCTGGCCGTATGAGGACGCTCAAGGTCACTAAGCGAGCTACGGAGAGGGCTCTTCCTCGGGGTTTCTTTGCATGATAAACTTAGAATGAGTGACCGACATAGCCCAACAAATTAGTAGGCTGAAGTGGCAATGAGCCGTATAACTCGAAGAAACGACAACCGATGGGGGAAAAAGATCTCGAGTGACAGCCTCGTAATGGTAGGTGTAGTATAGGGTGACCCCCCACTAGATGGAGTGACGACCTGGTAAGACATGCAAGAAATAGTTGCATGCAGGTGGTTAAGGACCGTGCTTTGTGGCATTCCTTGGGGGAGGCTTATGTTCAGCAGTGGACTTGTGAATGGCTGTGATGATGAATGATGACGGATTTTTGAATTGACTTAACTGGCAATCTGTTTCAGAGCTTCGAGTAATGTCGATTTTAAGACACCGCAGCGTTAAACTTCTGTTACTGGAGAAAATTTAATATTATATAATTAAAAGATTATTTTATTAATTTCCTTTCATTTTTCTTTTGAATATTTAATATTTACAGTCTATTTCAAAAAAAGATAGTCAGGGGGTTTTCCTACCTCCGTCTACGGGTACGCGACCCCGGCTCCCCGAGCTACGGTTATTCTCATACCTTTCCTGTCGAGATAACAGTATCCTTACACCTGCGCTCCTACCCCCAACCTTCTTTTTCCTTTTCCCAAAATGGTAGCTTCCTCTACCAACAATAGCATACCCAAAGAGGGTTGGTGTCAGGCAGGCGGCCGACTGTAAAACTTTTGCCAAATCCCGTGCAGTAAACCTATGAATATTACGAGTTGTGGGATATATGACAGGGCTAGGGCGTACCCCGCAGGCGACGCGCAGGGGCAGCACCCGGCTCCTGTGGGAAGTGGGCAAGGGTTGTCGCACCTTACGGAGCGGGTGCGACGTAAGAGGCGAGCCCGGAGAGAGAAGAATGTCAGAGTGAGGTTTGCAAGCTGGAATGTAGGTACGATGACTGGAAAAGGAAGAGAGTTAGCAGATGTTTTGAAACGACGAAGAGTGAATGTTGCCTGTTTGCAGGAAACAAAATGGAAGGGCAATAAAGCAAGAGAGATTGGGGAAGGATACAAGTTTTATTATTGTGGAAGTGATGGGAAGCGAAATGGAGTAGGAGTTGTGTTAGATAGTGGAATGAAAGAACGAGTGACAGATGTGAAAAGAGTAAATGACAGAATCATAGTTGTTAAATTAATGATTGAAAACAAAGTAGTGAATGTTGTAAGTGTGTATGCTCCGCAAACAGGCTGTGAAGAGAGTGTGAAAGAGAAGTTTTGGGAGGAATTTGATTGTATGATGATGGGAATACCTGAGAGTGAGGATGTTTATATTGGAGGAGATTTTAATGGACATGTAGGGAGAGTGAATGACGGGTATGAAAGAGTACACGGTGGATGGGGGTACGGAGTGCGGAACCGTGAGGGGGGAAGTTCTTCTGCAAGCAGCATGTGCTTTCGACCTGGCTGTAGTAAACACGTGGTTCCAAAAACGAGATCAGCATCTTGTTACTTATAAAAGTGGCCACCACGCGACACAGATCGACTATCTTCTGATAAGACGGAACCAAATCAAGAGTGTAAAAAACTGCAAAGTGCTTCCAGGTGAAGACTTAGTATCCCAGCACCGAATTCTGCTGGTTGACATCTGCTTAACTGTTCGCCTCAACAAACATAAGGATCGTCCCCCACCCAAAATAAAGTGGCATTTGTTGCATAAGGAGGAGTATGCAAGTGAATTTAGAGAGCTAGTTGTAAACAAGATGATAGAGATGGGTGATATGGAAGGAATGAGTGTGAATGAGTGCTGGAAGGAAATGGCTGATTGTATCCGAAGTGTGGCAAGGAAGGTGTTAGGAGAAACAAAAGGGAAGCGTATGATAGATAAGGATGGGTGGTGGTGGAATGAAAATATTAGAGAAGTTTTGAGAGAAAAGAAAAATGCCTTTAAAGAATGGCAGAGCGTAGAAGACCAGAATGATTCCATAAAAGAAAGTAAGAGAGGGGCGTATAAAGAATGTAAAAAGAGAGCAAAGAATGAAGTTGCTATTTGTAGGGCAGAGGCGCAAGATAAATTATATCGGTCCCTTGAAAGCCCCGAAGGTCAAAAACGACTTTTTCAAATTGCAAAAGCGAGAGAAAGGAATGGAAGAGATGTTTCACATGTAAAATGTATAAAAGATGATTCTGGAAGGATTTTGACTGACGATGAAAGTATAGAACATGAAAAGAAATTAAAAAAAAAAGAATGGGAAGGCGGTCGGCCCAGATGGAATACCAGTAGAAGTGTGGAAGTTGCTGAGTGTGGATGGATGGAAGTGGTTGAGTTTATTTTTCGGTAAATTGTTGCAGGAAGAACAAATACCTGAGGAATGGTGCAGTAGTATACTGGTCCCCATTTTTAAAAAACAAAGCAGACGTTCAAAACTGCAGCAGTTACCGGGGAATAAAACTCATGTCACATACGATGAAAGTCTGGGAAAGAATAATAGAGAAAAGAATGAGAGAAGAGTGTGAGATAACACAAAACCAGTTCGGATTCATGTCCGGTCGAGGTACGACAGATGCCATTTTCGCATTACGCCAATTGTGCGAAAAGTACAAGCGCGTGCATAAAAATCTGCACATGGTTTTTGTCGACCTTGAAAAGGCGTACGATCGGGTTCCCCGTGAGGTTTTGTGGTGGGCGTTAAAGATGAAAGGTATGCCTGGGAAGTATGTGAGGTTAGTCCGTGCTATGTACAGAGCATCCCGTACATGTGTACGATCTGCCGCGGGAACTACGGGCAGTATCGATGTGGCGGTAGGGCTGCACCAAGGGTCGGCATTGAGCCCTTACCTCTTCCTACTGATTATGGACGCTTTGACGTCGGACCTGTAGGATGAGGCACCCTGGTGCATGCTCTTTGCCGATGACATCGTGCTTGTCGGGGGAAGAAGGCATCGAGGTACAGAGCAGACTGACGGGGTGGCAACAGAGGCTGGAAAGTGTTGGCTTGAAGATCAGCAGATCCAAAACCGAATATCTGTGCTGTGATTTCGGCGGTCTTTCCAGTCCTGTACCCATGTCGTTGGATGGCGCTATACTGCCTACCTGCTCAGAATTCAAGTACCTCGGTTCCCTCATTCAAGGCGACGGCGGAATAGATAGAGCTGTGCAGCATAGGATTAACGCAGGGTGGATGAAATGGCGACAGGTCACAGCCACAACGTGCGATCCCCGAATGCCAATAAGGCTGAAGGGGAAAATTTACAAATCGGTCATCCGACCTGTCGTCATGTATGGAAGTGAATGCTGGGCCGTCAAGAAGAAGGATGAAAATAGACTGCATGCGAATGAAATGAGAATGTTACGATGGATGTGTGGTGTGACAAGGATGGATAAGATAAGGAATGAGTATATAAGAGGAAGCCTGAAAGTAGCGCAGTGGTAGAAAAGGTGAGAGGAAGCAGTTGGCATTGTTTGGGCATGTGATGCGGAGGGATGAAAGTCATGTCACAAAACGAGTGTTGAATATGAATGTGGAGGGACACACGGGCAGAGGAAGGCCGAATAAAAGATGGATCGATTGTGTGAAGAGTGATATGAGAATGAAAGGAGTAAGTATGGAAATGACGGCTGGTAGGGAGGAATGGAACAAGAAGATTTACTGCGCCGACCCCAGATAATGGGAAATGGTTTAGAGAATGATGATTTCAAAAAAGATGTCCTTGGCTGTGCCGCCTTGCATATTCGCACTTGGAAATTTAATTTTACTGTAATATTGTTTAAGGACAACAGGCTTCTCAGCGTATTTTAGCCAATATTCTAGTGGCGCTCAGTTATTACTGGACTATTGTCGGTCCAACATTTCAGTTATACTTTTCAGAAGAAAATAAATATTAAGTAACGCTACTTCAAAAAGTTGAAGTTTGTTTAAATTCTTAGAAACTGTATACCAAATATTTTTTATTTTTATTTTCGAGTATGCGCAGGTATTATATTATAATCTCGGTATTTCCTTCCCCTCTCATCATTTGTCAACAAGAATCTTAGTTGTTCCCTCACTCTTTTGTTGCTAACATACCATAGTATTCGAACCAATACGTACAAAAGTGTATTAAAAGTGACCAGTGTTCATCTTTCCATTCCATAACAACGTGTGTATTACCAAGACAAGAATGAATATGCATCTATTTTGGCAAGCCAGTGTACTTTTTACCTTAAAATTTAATATAAAATTGGTATGAAATATATATATATATATATATATATATATATATATATATATATATATATATATATCATTAATTTAAATTCATCAGTGACCTATTGTATTTTTCCCTTTTATTTATTTTATTTCTATATAACATCAAATTTCGGTCTTTTTGATATTTAAAATAAAAAAAATCTTTTTAACTAAATCAGTTGGCGGGTCAATGATCCTTGCAAGCATGTTAATAAGATCCATTCCTACAATTCTGCAACTCTGTAGAAGATATGTGATGATTTGATGTTTTATGATATTTTAACTATTATTTGAATATACTTTTGTACTTAGTCTTATTTCAAAATAACCTTCGATGCATAATTTAAATAACCTTTCAGTGTAATAGTAATAATATTAATAACGTTATTTGGCGCCCATAAAATGGATGATGGCACACAAAGGAACGCGCATAGGGCCGCTGCCTAGGGTCGCCGGGGCGCGTCTGGAGCGGGCGCTGGACGCGGCAGCATGCGGGCCGCCAGCCGAGCGCGAGGAGCTGCACGATCACCTAGCAGTCCCTCGCATCCATTATCCCCACCGGAAGGCTTGGTGTCGGCTGGGTCTTCTCGGACTCAGCAAGCGGCACCCGCCGCTGGTGGAGCACGTTGCATGCGTTGGGTAAAAGTTATGAACGAAAACGCATTGCGGGTGTACTATAGGGTGAAAGGGGAAGAAACTGTGGGAATAGCGTATAGGGCTCGGATGCATTCCTTTTTTGCTGAGCTGGAGCCTTCTATTCCCGTCACGGAACAAAACCTGGCAGACAGAGTTCGGTATACCATGCGCTCAAAAATATTTGATGATGCCGAACTCGAACGACTACGACGTGAGGCTATTCCATCATCGAATGAATCGGCTATGACTAGGGATGCAGCTACACATGCGACAGACCAGCATCCACACGTGGAAGCCGCCATGAATCTTCCAGTTGTGGTTCCTCGAACTAGAGCAAATGAGGAGCATATTAGATGAGGCGATTTTGGAAACGCGCAGCACCCCTCTCGAAAACGCGACTTTCCCGCATACCCCTAAGCAAGCGAAATCGGGCTGTCGTGAGGGCTCTTAACCCAATGCTGGTGACCGGTCAGCCGGAACCTTTGCGAGACGGACTCAATTCTTTTAGGCGCCGCAGTGGCATTTTGCCGTATTATTGGCGCCAAAATTCCCATGGCTGGACGCGCTACTACACAAAGTAGCGCCATCCCAGCCTGGAGAAAAAGAATCGAGGACCGTATCGCAAGGGCCCTTATCGGTAGACTGACAAGCTTCAGTTCGGTTAATAATAGACCGAGGGTTGTGCGCACCGTTAGGATGGCGTTTGCTGTCCAGCCGGATATCACGCAGAAACTAACGGAGCGCATAGACGACCTGAAACAAAAGATCGCTGCTTGGGGGTAGCGGATTCGACGATTTACCGAGAGTTCAAGGCGGTTCAACCAGAATCGTCTCTTCTAGAGTAATCATAAGAGGCTCTGTAAATCATTGGAGCAACCAAAGGTATGTGGGGAGGGCCAAGGACCGGATCAGGCTGACATTATCGGATTCTGGCGTGGCCTGTGGTCAGAGCCCGTAAACCACAGCGAGGGCCCTTGGATGGAAGTTGTGGTGAGCCAGGGTGCGAGTGTTACGCTTATGGACCCCATCACCATAACGCCGGAAGACGTGGCTGAGGCCCTCCGTAGGGCCCCGAACTGGAAAAGTCCGGCGCTCGACGGGCTGCATCATTAATGGCTGAAGGGGTTCACAGTGTTTCACGCTGTGCTCGCCCGACAGTTTCAAGAGGCTCTCGTCCAGAAGTCGCTCCCGAGCCTCTGCACTATTGGGATCACTCACCTGGTTCCTAAAGATCAGGATATCACAGACTTGAGCAAATACCGCCCCATCACGTGTCTACCCACCATATATAAGACACTAACATCCATTTTGAGCGCGAAAATTACTCGTCACCTGGAGATAAACCAGGTGATGTCATGCGCTCAAAATGGATGTCGGGGCGGTGGTCGTGGAACCAAGGAACCACTCCTCATTGACGCGGTCACAGGCAAAGTGGTGAAACGCAACCGTCGGAAGTTCTCTGCCGCCTGGATAGACTACAGAAAGGCGTTCGACTCGGTGCCCCATACATGGCTAAAGAGGGTCCTCGAGCAGTACAAGATTGACTGTACAGTTAGAGACTTCCTCGAGCTGTGTATGGGGCAGTGGAGTACGATCCTTTGTAATCTGGGCGAGCGGATGATGGCTGCGGAGAACCACATAAGAATAAGAAGGGGTATCTTCCAGGGTGATTGTCTGAGTCCAATCTGGTTCTGCCTCTCTCTGAACCCTCTCAGTACCTTACTGGAGGGCTCCGGGAGGGGATTTCAGCTACGGAAAGGAGGGACAAAAGTGACCCACCTTTTCTATATGGATGACCTCAAGTTATTCGCCTCCAGTCGCTCCCATCTTATGGAATTGCTAAACATCACTTGTGAATTTAGCAATTCCATTGGAATGGAGCTGGGGACGGATAAGTGTGCGGTCCTCCATGTTGAAAGGGGAAGGGTTGCTAACTCTGAGGGTAGAGACTTATCTATGCCCGTCAACTTAAGGACCCTTTCCGAGGCTGAAACATACCGATACCTGGGTATATCACAGAACATCGGTATCGATGAGGCTGGTATGAAACAGTCAGTTTGCGAAGTGTTTTATGCACGCTTGACCAAAGTGCTTAACAGCCTTTTGTTCGGTGTGAATAAGGCACACGCATATAACAGCTGGGTCATGCCTGTCCTCACGTATACTTTTGGCATACTTAGGTGGACTCAGACTGAAATTAACGCCGTGGATAGAAAAGTCCGCACTACTATGACGTCCCATAGGATGCATCATCCGAGATCGTCGGTAATGAAGCTGTACTTGCCGCGAAAGCATGGTGGACGTGTCTTCTTGAGCGCGTTCACCATGCATAATCGCGAAGTGTGCAGCCTCCGCGATTACTTTCTGGTGAGATCGGATGATCCATTCTATAAGGACGTCATTTCTTGTGATGAAGGACTTACCCCTCTATCCTTAGCTAACGAGCAATGGCGGCAGTGCAGAGCATTTCCGACCGGGAGACCGTATGAAAGGAGAAAGAGCTACACGGGAGGTTCTACAAGGCTCTCAAGACATGAGCCTTTCGTAGACACAGTAGCCTCCCTCCACTGGCTACGCTTTGGTGATCTCTTCGGGGATACCGAGGCTTTTGTCTGTGCAATACAGGATCAGGTTATTAAGACCAACAACTATCGGAGATACATCCTAAGGGATGGCACCGTCGACATCTCTCGAACTTGTCGCCATCCCGGTGAGTCACTTAGACATGTCATCTCCGGTTGTTCGGCGCTTTCTAACTCTGAGTACTTGCACAGGCATAACCTAGTAGCCAGAATTCTTCACCAGGAGCTCGCTCTGAAATACGGTCTCGTAGATCAGAAATTGCCGTATTACAAGTACTTTCCGGAAGCCGTGCTCGAAAATGATCGCGCCAGGCTCTATTGGGACCGGGCCATCATCACAAATAGGACTATTCTTGCGAATAAGCCTGATATTGTGCTGATGGACCGGGTACAGTCAAGAATATTTTTGGTCGACATTACCATTACGTATGACGAGAACTTCGTGAAAGCCGAAACAGATAAGCGAACAAAATATCTGGACCTGGCTCACGAGGTGACTGACATGTGGGGTTATCTGCCGGCCGAAATTATTCCTGTAGTCGTCTCTTCGAATGGGCTAATCCCAGTCAGCCTCTCGGGTCATTTGAGGCGACTGGGACTCCGTGACGCGGTCCGTCACGTCCATCCGGGCTCAAATTCAGAAGGCAGTGCTCCTCGATACCGCCCGCATCGTCCGCCGGTTTCTTTCCCTTTTATCCTAACCCTCGGCCGTCTGGTCTCCTCTGCCGAGGGCTTCCATCTGGTTGGATCTTTATTTATTTATGTATTTTTGTATTTATTTTATTGTATTGATATTTATGTATATTTACCTTTTCATTTTAATTTATAATTATATATTTATAGAACCCAACCAGATGAGAAAACTATATATACAGAATTTCGGCCACGGCGACCTGCCTCATCGGAAGCTAGCCATTGGCGCTGGACAGGATTATAGTGCCCAAGTGTATGCGTAAGCTCAGGTGTACTCTCTATTACCTCACTCTCATAATCCGATGGGACGGTAACCCGACACGACCGGAGAGAGATCAGGTGCAGGACCAACGGCTTTACGTGCTTTCCAAGGCAAGGGGGTTAGACACCGCCAACTTCCTGACTCCGGACAACTACTGAGAATTCCATGACGGAAAAACTCAATAATTAATTTTTGGCCCGACCCGGGATTCGAGCTCAGGACTTCATGATCAGCTGTCTCACTACTACAACCACTAGAATAACGAGGCAGACCTTTAAGTGTATTACATACACAAATACCAGAAAACAGTTTTCTTCCATATTTATGACTCGCATAATACAATCTACTTTAGAAAATTTTAACGAAGAAGCATGTCATACATTGAAATATAATTTCATAAATTTAATTTGTATGTTCGTGATATATTATTAGAATATATACAGTTATCATAACTTGATGATTATGATGAATAATATATAAAAGCACTTCGTTCACTACAGGAGGGTTTTCCATCGTAGTCTTTAACACGTGGATTAACGGGCAAGGAGACGACCTGTTCTCAAATAAAATAGTGATTTATCGTTCATAAAATATAATTCACAAATAGAATAATCACACAAAATTACTAAAGACGGCGAAGTTGTACTTCGATTAAAACTACAACGTCCACCGAACACGTAAATGCGTGTGCCCCGTCGACAGTTCACGACCAAACGGCAGTTCATAGTCTCTGCCAATTCCTCTCGTCGACAAGCGTCATGTATATATAGCATATTCGTATGTTGTAATAAGTAAGGTATACCTCATAAGGCAAGGTTTTGGTTGTATGAGAAATAGGCAACTTAGTGACAAGTGTAGTGTTAACTGACGCTCCCATAAGATGGAGTGATGACCTGATGAAACACACACGTAGTCAATGCATGCAGGTAGCCCAGATCTGTGCTTTGTGGCAATTATTTTAGTAAAAAAAGTAATTCATAATGTTTATTTGTTTAATTTTTCTAATATTTTGATAATTACAGAAACTTTAAATTTGGTTTTTCAAGAGGTAATTGGATATTATAACATTTTTAGCAAAAAAAAAAAAAGAGCCGACTTCAAAGAACGAAAAAAAAATTAAAATAATTTTAACAAGACTATCAGTGCTAAGACAGAAGTGTATGGAAGTATGTGAAAATTATTTAACTATTTTTAGTTCTTATAGGGCCAGCTTTTACTTTTTATTAAAAATGAAGTAGGGTAAAACCACCAGTAACTGGCCACTTAAGCACTTTCACAAAGTCAGACTTTAATTATGTCAAAATAAGTTATTATATTAGATTTATTGCAATGCCACTAAATAATATGCACATTATTTTACATAATTCGGGATTTTAAAAGTAAAACAAAACAATATTTTGTATCAAATTTTAATAAAATCAAAAAACTATCACTTTTGGTAGTTACTGGCCACTAATTTTAGAAACTGGCCGTCATTAAACTATTAATTGGCCACATGAAATAAGCCTCTGTTTCATCCTACTATATACAAAGGAATATAAAAAAATAAACTTTAAACAAAACAACATTCATTATGTTAGACAATAAATCAAAATTTTACCCGTAATATTAATATGAGATCAAAAATAATACGACATAGGAACTTTCTTAATTCACACGAACAACAAATCAACAAGTTTAAAATTAATATAGTTTTATAGCATAAAGTTTGAACCGAAGCCTTGTTTTCGTGCTTCTTCACAAGCAGAGCTAAACATGGCATCACAATCACCGTCAGATGAGTCAGTATTACTCTCTCGATAGCACATGTGGCACAAAAACTGATCCTCATCTTCCACAGGTACATGGAGTCTGTGATATGACGGAATACAATTTAAATGAAACCGTTTTTTACACTGGTTACATTCAATAACCCTACTTGTAATGAGATTCGAACAAAAATCACAAAACTTTTTGTTCATTAACCTCATATGTATTTTCAGTATTTTCTTTGCATATATCTTCTTCAATTATCTTTGTTTTGCTTTTTCCATCACTTTTTTTCTTGATTTTCTTCTTAGGTATACTGTTTTCTTTTTCCTTCTTCTTTTCTTCTCTTAGTCTCTTTCTTTCCTCTTTTGCAGCTTCTTCTTCAATCTTTTTTAACTGTTTTGCTTTTTATTCTTTCCACGTATTGGTCTGAAGTTAAAGCAAATGGCAGTCTTTCTATTTGGCGCTTTCCTTGTCGCTTAGGTGATAATGGTAAGTTTTGTTTCAAGTATTCAGTTAGAGATACATTAGAAATTATGGAAACCGTCGAATATGTGACTTGTTTTGACGTGCTAGGCTGCGGAGTGAGACTACGTTCTATTAAATTATTCTGAAGTGTCGGCTCGCTATACACTTCTTTCTTTTCATCTTCTCTTTCTTCGTTTTTATTTATTAACTCACCTGTAAATTCATCAAGAATCGACCTAGGGGTTTCGTCATCTTCTATAATATCAGTCACATAATTGTCTTCTACGATTTTGGTCGGTTTGTCGAAAGGGCCACGGTCCACGTCATTATTAATTCTATAATTATTATTGTTTTCCGATGCAGCCTCAAATCTTTGCCATAAATTGTAAATTGCGAAAAAGTTATCATCTGACTCTAAAATGGAAGAGACTGTTCGACATTTTTCAAGAATTGACTCACCCACAATGTTACAAAACTCTGAATAGGTCAACACATTCATATTATGCTTAACATTTTTTTCTGACGTGGGTGTATCATCGGGTTGGTTTACCCTTGCAATGCACTTGCTAAAATCAACATTATTTGGTTCAAATGGACATAAACCGGTTACTCTGAATCCATTTATTAATGTCTCTTTCTTAGAACACGAGTCTACAACTGTTTTTAAGAGTGGAGCAAAGGTTTCTTTGGTCAGACTATTTTCGTAATTATTCGCAGCGTACCAATCGCGCAGTACCTTCTTCCAAGCTACCTTTATTGGGCGAAAAGCTGCGACATCTGCTGGTTGTAGTATACGAGTTGCGTTTGGACAAAGCGCTATTAAATGTATTTGAAGACGGCGGCATAGTTCTGATATTTCTATGGTTATATGGGTTTTGTGTCCGTCGACAAATAGAATTACTGGTAGTGGGATATTACTTTCTAAAATTTGTGGGTGCAGGCAGTTAGAGATATAATCATAAAAAACTGCTGCAGTCATCCAACCTGTGTCGCTTCGCCCTATTCCCCAACCAGATGGCACACTCAACGAAACTCGGTCAGGTATCCGTTTATAAGGATAGATAATCATTGGCCTAAAGACGTGTCCAGCAGCAGAAAACGTAAATAAAACTGTAATGTTTTCTTTAGAAGATCCTTTTTCTATCTGGTACACATTTTTGCACCCTTTCTCAGCCAATACTTTGCCTGTTTTCGGGTAAATATTGAATCCAGTTTCATCGGCATTGAATACTCTTATGGGATCTTGAATGACGTCATTTAGTTCTTCCTCGTCAAAATACTGCTTTATTTCCCGAAACTATTTCCTAATATCCTGTTCAGAAACACAAGCGCTTGCATTGGTAACTCCTTCTGATGTTCGAATAGAAATATTAGGATGTCTTTTCAAGAAAGCCTTAAACCACACATCTCCCGGTTTGTTGTCTCGGAAAGGGTTGGGTCTCGGATTTTGTTGCAAAAAATTCTGGACACATAATTGGATATCCTCTTTCTTTCTTGGGAAGCCACGCTTTGATAGTTGTATGATGAAGTCACATAAACTGTTTTCTTCAGCTTCAGTTAGCACTGGATCTGGTCCAGACTTAAACTTTGTGTCAGGATTTTTAATTTTAAATTGGAGGCTACTTCTGGGCACACCAAATTGTTTTGCCGCCTGTCGAATTGAACCCTCTTTATTCTCAATAAATTTTAGAGCCTTATCTATTGTTTCTTTGCCGTATTGTCGTTTTTTAGACATTTTACTAACACTTCAATGAACTGTAAAATAAATAAGAAAATAGATTAGTAACTGGCCACAAACTGGCCACCTATGCCAGTTTCTGATCAGAGTCGACTAATTCTGCTAAAAAGAAAATACACAATACTACGCCTTAAAAACATCATAAATACGGGTTATTGTTAAAGAAATTTGAATAATAGGTAAAACTTTAGTAACTGGCATACGTGGCCAATAACTAAAAACTTCCAAAAAAATTACTTCAGAATCTAGCCACCCTTTCAATAACGGCTTATTTAAGATTTTATTAGAATTAAAATAAAGATTCATATAACTCACCAAGCAAATATGTAGAAATATGCGATTCTTTCACCAACGCCAAGTATTATCACCTATAATTTAAATTTTGTAAAAACTTAGCCACTAACATTTACGTAGTAAAGTAACTTGCATGTCGAGACACGTACACCAACTGTCAGTAAATGGCAGTTTGCTTGGGCGCTAGTATCTGTAGCGAAAAAAGTTGAACTACTACGAAAGGTGAATGACGAGGCATTTTTTTGATACGTTCATTGATGGCGCAAATAAAACATTATTCTTATTTCAAATAGATAAAGTACTAAGTGGCTAGTTATTGGTAGTGGCCAGTTATACCTTGTTTTACCCTACATGACTTTAGCATGACTATTTATTATGCTACGCGAAAAATTTTTTCTACTATGAGTGAGGTCCATAACCGTTATGGAATATTAAGAGGGGGGAGAGTATTTATAACATTTATTCAAAGGAGTATAATTTAAAACATAGTATTGACATATCTTGTAGTAATTTGTTAAACCAAGGAAAATATTATATAATTAATTTATAATTATTTATAATCATCATTATCATAAAAGCCTTTACAAGATATTCAAATAAAACAAAATGTGTTTTTCATAAAATGGCACTTGTAATAATGATTTTCGAAAAAGCCAACTCGGCTGCAACTGCGTGATTTCGTCCCTGTGTAGCGGTCTTCGTATGGAGGAGGTCTATGTCTAACAGTGAACTTTTGATTGGCTGTAACGGTAAAAGCCTTTCCTAATAATATAACATGTAAATAAATATCTTCCTGAAATAATAAAACAAAATCCTGTTAAATAGAAATAATTAACTGTTTTATGTACAAATATGGAAGATCTATGTTATTACAGAAAATGATGCACGAGCACTCCTACTTATTTCATGGAACCTTAATAGAAATTTAATTTCATGTTATGAACACTTGATTCCATTGCGAATTTTAGGATATTTTTTTAAGAATTCACGTAAATAATTTATCATTATTATTATTTTGTTATCGTTTTGTATGTGAAAGTATTGTGGGATATTATATATATATATATATATATATAAATGTGTGTGTGTGTGTGTGTGTGTGTGTGTGTGTGTGTTTATATGTACCCATAGATAAGAGTGCTTAAAACTTATAGTATAAAATAAGCAAGGTGTAGATCGCACTTATCGTCCATAAAATGGTTTCTTAATGTTGGCAAAATATTACTACGTTCGTAGGTGGCGTCTTGCAAATTTCTTGCGCGTTATAATTATAGCAGCGAGAGTGCGCGGAGTGCCGAGCCAGAGGCGGACTGCTAATAGTGATTCGCTAGTAGTGGTAGCGCCTTAATATAGATGTTTTTATAGACCATACCTACCTAGGCACCTACTTACGATTGAATGGTCTGGGTGTCCGATTGCTTTAATATAATTTTGCTTAAATACTTCATGGCTCGAAGACCAAGCCCTGTTTTACTTGCATTGCAAATATAAATATATAACTACAATTATTTTTAAATTCCTCATAAAGAATATCTGAAATGTATCACCATACGGGAAATATGTATAAAAATAAATTTTGTCTAAATAAATTTTGTATTCGTCGCGATAACACCCTAAATAAACATTCATTGTGCAAACCGACAAATGAAGTAAATACAAACGGTTTCCGTTTGTATGAAATAGAATTGATTTAAATAAAACGCTTTGCATACTTTGGAGATCTTCATAATTTATGAGTTATACATAAGTTTCACAAAGAGTCTAAATAAAACTAGTTTATACGGTTTAAATAGCGTATATTAACTTATTTTATATTCGTAACGTTTCGGCACTTCAGCATTCTTGGTAACAAGCGGTACGTAGACGACACTATCACAATTTTACTTTTAAATAAAGTAACTGCATTTTTAGACCATCTTAACTCTATAAATAATAAATAAAAAATAAATTCTAAAACTCAGTCACAATGGAGTTAGAGGCCAAAAATTCTCGTGTTAGTAATTCAGAATCCTGATAACACCTTAAGCTACAATGTGTATGGTAAAAAGGCCTATACAAATAGAAATTTAAACGGTGACTACAACCATCCGTCACAGTTAGCTACCGTGGATAAATATTTCTTTCAGAGAGCACAAGGGATCTGTGACAGTAAACACCTGCCCAGCTCCAACTGCCGAGCTCCAACACGTCAAGCAAGTTTTGCATGACAACAAGCTTCGGGTCCCGCGCTTACGTCACAGTAAACGAGTGAAGCTGACCACAGATTAGCATGCGCCTGCTGTTCTGCAATATATTACAGGTGTTACTGACAAGATTTTTTATCATCTTGAAACGTGCTTGCATTAAAACATACTTCAAACCGACGAAGAAGATTAGTCAGTGTTGGCAGTTAATGTATTATGTAATGTATAATGTTCTTTTTGTAAGGCTTCCCCCCTCTCTATGTAAATATGTATGAAATTGAATATAATTAGTTCCCCTTTGTAATAAAATTATAAATATGTGACCAGAATAAATAAAATATGTTTTGATCTTTCTAAATGATCTTTCAAAAGGTTTAATAATATTTTTGGCCGTTTGTAATATTTTTGACGTGATCGACTTAGTTAGGACCCTTATTTACGTTGTGTTTGTTTAGTAACTTAGTTCTTTTAGGTGTCTTTTTGGAAGAATGAATATTCACTAGAGCAATTGAAAGCTGTTGGTAGTGCCTTATAAGCTAAGTGAACCCCGTTCACGAAGACAGGGCTCGAGAAAGGTTAAGAACTTGAACTGAAATGTATTTATATTAACTTTATGCTTATTAATGTAATTTTATTGCTATATATATTTTAAGACTATTTTGTCGCCCCTTTATATTGAATTTAATTATTAATAATAATATTGGGCCGTCACATTTTCATCGATCGCTGTCACGACGTTTTCCTCATTGATCTTTTATATTAAATTAATAAACCCTCAAAGCCCTTAAAAACTGCACGCAAATTCTCATGAGCGCTTGTAGATGCGGTTAGAAATATTGGTCTATTAATAAATAGCATTTAGTTCATACCTGTCATTTGCTAGTACCCTTTTTATTACAAAAGGAACCTTGAGTTTTTTTGACACCTTCAATTGGTTACGTTCACTAGCTTTAACAAAGGCGTAGTCACCTTGTTCAAACGGTTTGACAGTCACTTTTCCGCGATTGTAGCGCTCTATTCCTAATTCTTCTGATTTTATTATACTGTTAGACGCATTAAATGCATTTTGTCTTACATTTTCTAAATTTACGCGAGAAGTTTTAGGATTTGAAGAGATTTGGGAAATGCCAAACATTAACATTAACTCAGTTTGCGTATATCCATTTACCCTGGATCTAGTACCATTTAATTCTAGTTGGACCTCGACCAGTTCATCTTTGTACACTTTATCCACGTCGTTGTCCATCATAATCAGTAACCTTTTGATGGTGCGCGTGACCCTTTCCACTTTACCGTAGGCTCTGCATGAACTAGTTGCAATAAGGTATAATTCAATATTATGACAGTTGCAAAACTGTTTGAATTCAGTGCGTATAACATTTACCTTGATCTGTTGTGATTCATGGGAGGAATTCTTTGAACTTGCGCAAAAAGGGTTTAACATTGTTAACAAATGGTTGGTGGATAACATAATTACTCTCAATGTTACAAAAACAAAATAAATGAGCTTTGCCTTAAAGAAGTCGAGTCTACCTACTTCTGGCTCTATTTTTGCTCACTACTGCGGCTCTCTAAATTACACCCCTTGCTTGTGTCTTACAATGGAAAGAGTTGAATCTATTAAATATCTAGGAGTCATTGTTGATTCTACTCTCACCTTCGGTTTAACGTCTCACTTGGCAGATTGCAGTACCAGATGCCTTTTTCGGCACCTATAACGCTGCTGCACGTTTGAGTACATTACTTCTTGCGTGTGACAGTATAGCCATCTATCGGAAACCATTATTTTTTATAATGGTATTTACCGTATACGCCTCTTACGACATATCAATACTTACAAAATATCAATAGTTAATATTACTAGCATATATTACTTTTTATCGAAATCTAGGAATTGAGCTACGAGTAGCACGCAAAAATGTTGTATCAAAATAATTTTTAAAACATGTTTAAAAGTTGAAACTATGTAGTTATTCATATTCTCATTTGTTTTAATCCGCAGTGAGTTGCAATTGTTGTATTTTGTTTTAAATTTTTTGTATTCAAAGTTATTTTCACGTGTGAAATGGACGTCTATTTTATATTTAAAATTCAGAAAAATTAAGTTGCTACGAAAAGCACATATAATCGTCTTTACAAAGGCGAATATGTCTGAAAAGTTGGCTCTCCTGATATTTGTCGAAATAAAAAAAATCGACAAATGTTAGTAGAGCCGTGACAACGGTCCCATCCACAGCTCATATTCACAGATCCAACAACACTTGTCGTCTGCTCGCGGTCCCTCCTCGGTAAAGAACACCATCTCCCCTCTATCTTCTAGAAAATTCTTTTAAACACGTTCTCGTCTCTGAAACACGAGGGAGCACGAGGGATCTGTGACAGAAAACATCTGGCCGCCGAACTTCAGCATGTCAAGCAAGTGTTGCAAGAAAACAAGCTTCGGATCCCGCGCCTACGTCACAGTGACCGAGTGAAGCCGGCCACAGTCGAGCGTGTGCCTGCTGTACTACCATATGTCAGAGAAGTCACAGACAAGGTTGGCTACATCTTGAAGCGAGCTTCCATTAAAACATACTACAAGCCGCCGAAGAAGATTAGTCAATTTTTACCATCCGTCAAGTGTAATATCCCTCTACAAGATGCAGGAGTGTACAAGTTAGATTGTGAATGTGGTCTCTCTTACATAGGTCAAACAAAAAGATCCATAAAAACCCGCGTGAAAGAACATATAGCTGACGTGCAGCACCGACGCTCCGGGAAGTCTGCAGTCTGTGAACATGTTAAGGATCGTCCCCACCATTACATCAGATTTGATAAACCACAAGTCCTCGCAAAAGAACACCGATTCCAAGGATGATAAGTGAGGCTATTGAAATTAAAAAACATCCTAATTTCAATAGAGAAGATGGTTGGGTGCTGCCATCTGCTTGGGATCCTATAATTAACAAAATTAAACCCAAACCCAAGCATACCACTGCAAGACTTCAAGATACTGTAAGTTCGTTTGGCGTAAATTGGACCAAAAATTAATATTCAAAAACTGAAGGTAGCCGGACTAACAATGACATTGGGACGTCAAACATCTCAGTCCCCCCCAGTGAACATGGGTGCTGTAAGGCACCCGAAACGTCGGCATAATAATAAAAATAAATTAAAGTAATTAAACGCGATAAAATCCGTA